CTGCCACCTGGTCACGAATGAAGATTACTACTTATTTACATATAATATTTGAAGCTAGCTGAAGATAAATCAAGTATTATAGTGTGCCAACACTGCCGAGATTGCGAGTCTATGTCTGGGCATCACTCAAGATGAAACCAGTAGATGTAATGATTAATCGATTCATATGGACTGCTATGCTCATGCATGCATCGTGAGCGTAAGATTTTATCATCTTCATTACTGCAAATGTTCCTTGAGGTGTTTGGTCGGAATGAACAATAAATAGTACGAACGAAAAGGGAGCGAAACATTGCTGATTGTGCGGGCAGTGTAAGCTAAATAGCACCGATGAGATGCGCAGGACAAACGATGATGCCGTGCAGACACATTGCAGATGTGACGGCAGAAGCGGTGCGAGCGAGACGGTACAGATTCGACGGGCAGTTCAAGGGACATTAAAAACGACGGTACAGGTCAGGCAGTACAGATGAGTAAATAAAGTACGAATGAGGTTTAACCGCACAGCGGATGGAGTGGGTACAGACAAGACAGGATGGATCCGATAGAAAAACTAGACCGATTTGTAGATTAGAGGTATGAAGTTGGTGCATGGTGAAGACGAGACTGACGGCACAGACAAGAGAGACGATACCAGCAAGGCAAACTTAATAATTATATCCTCAAATATTCTTGGTTCTTTGGGTAAAGTCATGTAGAAGGGAAATAATAAAAATAAAACAATAAAGCTTTAAATAGAAATGTATCCTAAAATGTAATTATCGCCGTGAATTGAGACGGTTCATTGAATCGCCTGGGCCGAAGGATGACGAATATTTAAAAACTGGGGTTTAAAGTTTAGTGATGTTATAGTTTCAGCCTGGGTACCAGCACAAATACCGAATAACAAACTGAAGCATTTCACAAAAATGTGTTTCGCTGACTCCCCTGCCTCTACCGCAGCACCATCTGTGCTGCACCCAGCAATACGTTTGTGGTTTTAAAAAACATTTTCATAAAGTTAATATGCGCGTCTGAAATCATCGTCAGCCCACAGTCTCCGTCTCCACTGCCGCAGGAAGCTTCTCCACTCTCGAGTGCATCACGCGCGGTGCTGCGATGTCACCGTTTTAATCTCGTTTCTTCTGTACGTGAGCCGCTCCAATGGGCTCCATCTCCTCGGTGGACACCTCGCACTGCCATTCCATCGCTAGTCCCGTCCATTGACCAATCGTACCTTCTGTGGACGTGTCCGACCAAAGCCCACTCGCTTGGCTTAAAAATCAACACGATGTCTCTTGCGTTGTTTGCTATATGGTAGCCTAGGGGCTTTTAGGTCCAATAATGTTCTAGTTTGTATCATAAATGCTTCTGATTATTGCCCTTTACATTTCGACGTTTATTTCCCAGCAGAATTGATTTAAGTAGGCACGTTCTGGACCGGTTTTCTCTTTTGAGCTTGAGCATAGTCAGACCTGCTTTATATGGGTCAAGCTTACATTGAGTTCATTAAAGAGCTGCATGTCCACATGGTAGGACTGAATGTGCGTCTTACAGTCAAACGTTACGTGTCTGACTCGCTGGTGGAATGAGGCAAGTGCGCATATGTTAAAAGGTTGGATATGTGAACATCTATAGAAAATGACGGTTACAAAGGGCACAAAAACTGAACCGCTTGTGAACGGTAAATTGGTCAGGTCGGATATGCGATGTTAGAATATGCGACGTTGTGCTGCCAAACATACGTTTAAATGTTAACCTTTTAAGAGATTCATTTTTGGAAGATAGATTCATTTTTGAAACGAGAGATTTATTTACGCGCATTGAGTTGGTGGCTTTTACACCCAATGAATGTTTGCTCATCTTGTCCGATAGCAGGGGCGGCGGTGGCAGCAGCGATGGGCGATCCGATCTCGGGCATTCACCCACCCACCTGCCATAAGAATTGTGCGAGGGCGCTGGGTGTTTTCGTTGGGGTTCCAAGGTTCGATCGGTGGAACTTGAATCTTATCGCCCCTCTGGAATTGTGTACACGAGATGGGAGGCAGTGTGCAACTCCTCGGTGCGTCAATCGCCGCCTTTGTGTGATACAAAAGAAGCGTATGCATGATCGGGGTTCGTATCTGTCACGTGGGCCCAATCAATCGTGGGTGTTAACTGTCCATTGAAGTCGGGCCGGAATTGATCGGCATAGATCACCGTGCAAATGTTTCCCTGTCAAACATAAAACAAAGCCATAATTGTGAGACTCTCCGGGTCGATGACACCCCGTGGCATGGGCTCTCATTATGGAGACGTGTGGGCCTTTCACTCACTTGTTTACATATTCGGAGCGCAAGGGTTTTATGTGGTAATTGTTAAACCAACGCGACCAGTGCAGCTTCCACCACTGCCATCTCCATCACCACCACCACGATCACTCAGAACGTCTCTCATTGTCGCCACGATAAGTCGCCACCATGACCATCGCCATCACCACTATCACTCGCCACATTCATCATCATCATCACCATGACCAATCACCACTATCACTCGCCACATTCATCATCATCACCATGACCATCACCACTATCACTCGCCACATTCATCATCATCACCATGACCATCACCACTATCACTCGCCACATTCATCATCACCACCATGACCACCATGACCATCGCCATCACCACTATCACTCGCCACATTCATCATCATCATCACCATGACCATAGTTTTCATCGCCATTTAAAAACCATAATTGTCGCTTCATTGCCATCGTTACCACAAGAATTACGACCGCCGACCTACTACTACTACCACCACCTTCGTCAGCTTCACAACTGTCACCACCTGCATTGTTTTTCTAGCACCAAAAATAAGTGATCGGCAATCCATTATAATGATTGAAAAAGCATCATCACCATCACTTCGCATTATAACATAGTTCATTCTCCAATTCCCGGGTATGGTGGTGATTCATGCCTCGGTAATCTCGTGACTTGGAAGGTGGGGTTAGTGGATCATGGATAGATGGAGTCAACATGTGGTTCAGCTGCTAACTCTGCTGGGCCGCGACGTGCTTGTAATAGGCAGTACGTGAAATAGTTTGGTGACAGACTATCTGTGTAGAGTTTGAGTGCGTGGGGTTTTCCAGCTTCTGTAACCGCGCTTGACATGTTCGATCTTAAGAGTAGGGGGACCTCCTTCATCCTGCTTGTTTTGCTTTTCATCCAGCTATGGATTGATCCTGGCTGATGATGGTGATTGTTTTTTACTGGTAGGAACCCCTTGGTTCCACCAGCCCACAGGGGATTATTGTGTCCGTCCATCGTGCATCCGAAAATGGGAGGGGTGGGGCTGGGTGGAGAGGGGAGGGTGGGGCGGGAGGGAGGGGCTGGGTGGGTAGGGGAGGGTGGGGAGGGGCTGGGTGGGGAGGGTGGGGAGGGGCTGGGTGGGAGGGGTGGGGCTGGTTACCACGTGGTGCCCTTATAAAACTCAACGTTTAACCTACTCACGCCGGCTTGTGCCCGCCCTCACAGTCGGGCATATTTGCGGAATACACCACGCCGCCGTTGACCCTGGCCATTGACCGAGCAACCCAACGTTCCTACCAGCTCCCTCCGCAGGAATGTGTTTGAAGTGGCTCAGGTAGTCCGAGTGCTGAGCCAGCGCCGCTGGGATCTTCGGTTTGAATTTGGATTCAAGTGGCGTGTGATGAGACCGGGTTCTCTCACGTAGCAAGTTGATGGCCCAACCTCCAATGAATACGCAGAACTAAATAATTTGAAATTATTACCATTAAACTAATCATCAGTAGCAAATCACCAAATGTTGAGTCCCCCTTTGCCGATTAAATAATTGCCGTTGCTTTTTTATATTTACGTGTAAATGTGTAATTACATTTATTTTGTAGAGCTTGCTGTTTCTGAGCAAAGATCATTTTCATGTTAAATTATTATAAAAGTGATGGTTGTCATGAACAAGATTATCATCATTGTCAGTGGTAAAAAGAAATGGCTGAACGTTAATTTTGTTGTTGCAGGCAATAAAAAAATATTTAAAAAATGTAAATTATTATGATTATTGTCAGTAGTAAATCACCGATATTTGAGTCTGCGGTTGCTTAATTTTTATTCTAATTATCATCATGAACCATGATCTAGCCGCTGCTGGATGAAGGGGTCACCACACCGACACCATCCCTCAGAGTCCTGCCATGTCACAAACTCTCTCTTATTGCTCCATCTCCGTAGCCAAATACTCTCAATGCACGTTGATTCTAAGTGAGGAGGGAAAACCCGGAGGACCCAGAGAAAAATCCACGCGACCACGGGGGGGGGCGGGGGTGGGGGGGGAGACATGCAAACTCCGAATATGCAGCAGGCGTCAGGGTCGGGATGGAACCCACATGTATACCAGGCGAGGGAGTTAACATCTCACCACCACGGCGAGTCCCGTGCTCCGGGGCATCCTCTCTCTCCATTGGATGCCACTTCATCGTTAGTCTCGGCAATCGGCTATCATCATCCCTTCTAGCCATATGTCCTGCCAAGCCCTTTTACTTATTTCAATTGTCTATATGACGTCTCTAATTTTGTATTTGTTCTCTGATCCGTGTTCCAATTTGTATCTCTCGGTGCAAATCCAAGCATGCGCTATGTCAATGTTTCTTTGTGTGCTTTGTTCAGCTTCTATTGAATAGTCGTTGTCATTGTCCATTATTAGATTTTTTAATTAGGCCTTGTTTTGTGAGAGCTTGGATCAGTGCTTCAATTTATAATGAGTCAAGTGCCATCAGCATGATTATATAGTTAAATCCTATTTATTTGCATGTTTCTTTGAACAGTAATTGGTTGTTATCGTACATTGCAAACCTTTTCAGCATTCGTTTTGCACGATAAACCCTTCGAGATGCGGCGCAACACATGAAGCGCATCGTTGTTGAGTCTGCCCTTGTGGAGAGAGCGTTGACATCACTGCGCTACCGGTGAACTCACCATCGCCTTGCCGCTGTGCTCACTGCCCCCCGCCCCCCCCGCAGACCGGCATCGTCGGCACCATGGGCGGCAAGCTGAGCAAGAAGAAAAAGGGCTACGACGTGAGCGAGGCCAAGGACAAGGAGGGCGAGAAGAGCGGCGAGGAGAGCAAGACGGAAGCGCAGGAGAGCAAGGAGGACGGAAAGACGTCCGACGGCGCCGCTTCGCCCGCCGAAGACGGCGTCAAGAATTCCCCGGGCGCCGACAAGGCCGACGACAAAGCGGCCGCCGACGCCAAACCCGACGAGCAGAAGCCGAAGGCCGAGGAGGGGGCCGCGGCGGCGAGCGGCAAAGAGGAGGCCAAGGGAGAGGAGAAGAAGAAGGAGGAGCCGAAAGGAGCCGAGGCCGACTCCGGAGCCGCCGGAGAGGGCGGTTCGGCGAAGCCGCCGAACCCCCCGACGGTGGTGACGTCGCCGGCCACGCCGGCCAAGGAGTCGGCGACTGAGGCGGTAGCGGCGCAGGCGGAGAGCCCGGGCAAGGCTGGCGAGGGCAAGGCGGCGAGCGACAGCAAAGCGGATCCTCCGGCGGCCGGGACGGCCGCTCCGGAAATCAAGGCGGTCGCCGATGCCAAACCGGCAGCGTCGGAGAAACAAGGGGCATCCGAAAATGCGGTGGAGGGCATCGAGCTGACAGTGAACGCAGAACAAACTGTTGCTACCAATGAGTAATTGATGAGATTCCGGTGTTTGTTATTACAGCCGTTGTTGGTTTATTTTGTTTTGTTTGTATTATTAATTCTCCCTTTACTTTTGTATTCATTCTGTTTTAGGTTGTTTTTTTCATCTCACCATTGGCCAATTTGTGGGTGTACGAAGGGACGGGGGGTTAATTGCTGTAGTTAAAGGCACAGGAAGTAAGTGTAGGTCATAGTGGTAAAGAGTGCATACCGATGCACAGTGATGGTGGTTATTAAACTATTTTATCATTTAAATAAACACACAAATCAAAATCTTAAAGCTTGCATTCCACTTTGGAAAAAAGAGTAACCAGTTTTTTAAAATCACACTAATAACATCCTGCATGCAATGACAACGTTTTGTATTTAGGAGAGGACAGAAAATGCCATCACAAAATTGAAGAAACCCATCCCATAAAATAGTGACAAGTAATTTATGATTGGCTCTTGCACTGACATTCAAATTTGTATTCGATTATCGGAATATACAATACCGTTTAATCAGCTAAGTATAGACATTTTTTTAATGCCATATTTTTTTGGGCACAATTACCAACTTTTAAACCGTGCAATAGTATATAATCCAAGCACATTTTACCTTGAATACCATTTTGATAAAGACTGATGCAAACTTTTTTGCATACTTTTACAATCGACTTACCCAGTGTATTCAACAATGAAATGCATACATTTAGTTTTTCACCCAAAATGGCCAATTTTGAGAACCCAAAAATTGAGACGAAAAAAAATATCCACACTCATTTCCATAAAGATCTTAAAGTTCACATTCTTTGTTAATTCCCTTTTTTTTTAAAGCATCATTGCATGACTCATAAAAACACTAACCATTCCCAATGTGACTTAATTTTTTAAACTTTGTGCGTGCGCGAGTGCATCGTTCCATTTATTTAATTTGAAGGCTCATTTAAGGTTAATATATTTGAATGTACGAGTAATTTGGGCAAGTTTTTCTTTTTGTTGCACAGCCTGGTGGGTTTTTTTCTAGCTTCCTTTTTTTACGTGACCATCTTCACCACTTTAAGTTTGTTCCCAAACGACCCCTGTGCCTCAAAGCACAGCTCATTGTTGTCACAAACGGAGGGGGGAGGAGACGCAGAAGTTTAAACAAACAAAACACAGCACAGGGCCTATGATGCAGTGACCATATTTGGACATTTAATTTCAAAGCCATAGGGAGACCGGTGCGTGCATGTGCGCTGGCTTCCCAGTGTTACAACAACAACAATCAAAACCAATTTCTAGGAAGATAATTTTACGGTGTTAAAACAAAAAAAAACGCATAGGCCACTGGGCTGTAGGCTGATAATGAAAATATTTCGGACAAATAATCTCAATCAAAAAGGTCCAAAAATAAAATTTGGCTGAGATTCCGAAACCAAGAAACGAGTTGCCATTGTAGAGGCCTGCAGAACATAATTCACGCAGGCCACATTTGCAGCCAGGCGTGTGTTTCCCTCCTGAGGCAGCATCGATTTGCAAGGTCGCAGCGGCTTGTATCCGGCAAGCCACAAAAAAACACAGGTGGTCTTTAAAGAAATGCAAGTACAGTAATCCGATTGCATGCCCGCGGGGAGAAGTTTAACTCTACCTTGCTGCAAACGAAGCTTGTTTGATTACATTACCCTTAAGTTATAGGACACTAAGTCCTTTAAGAGTGAAATAGCCGCAGGCCTTGCCGGTGTGAGAATGCTTCGAATCCGATTCCGAGGGCTTCAACCCTGGCACGAGATGGGGGGGGGGCTGTGGGGTGTCAAATTAGACCGGGGATGGTGGTGGATGGGACCGGTTGTGGAGTATGATTTTTTTGCCATTTCGACGTTGCGCATTTCCGCACGTGGGAAAGCCCGAAGCGGCGACAACGTCAGCCGGGCTCTATGGCCCCGTTGTCCAATCGATCGGTGCTTGCGTTTGACCCATCCACGGGAGGGGGGGGGGGCGGTTGTGCGAAGTTTTGGCCGTTGCATTTGTGCGAGCGAGCGAGCGTGGATCGATCGGCGAAGCGTTTCGACGATCGACACTAGGATTATTAGGGGGGCAGCGGCAATTAGGGAGGGGGGGTGATGGTGGTGAGTGAGAGGAGAAAGAGGGGGTGAGTGGATGCCCTTTTACGGTCTTATTGGCTTTTTGTGTGGCTGGTGGCCCCGACGGAGGCAGGGCGAAAGAGCCCGAGGCGTGACAGCCACCTCCGATCTGAACACAGGGTTAAAGGTCTTTCGTGCGTCACTTTGGGAGCCCTCGGTACCGTATAATTAAACCGGGGTTGAGCTCCCGTTCCAGTAACACCGGTGGCACACACGGCCCGGGTTGGCCTTGGCAGGCGGCGGGTTGGAGTGACATTTGTAGGGGGGGGCAGCACTTAGCTTGCAGCCGAGTGTTTGTTTTACAGCAACGAGCCGAGATGGAGGAGGAAACACCGCTTTGCTCGGGCTGCCCGTGTTAGTCTTTGACGCAGACCCCAATCACGCGGCCGATTTCGGCCAATCAGAGCCAGCTTTAAAAAAAAAAAAACTCCTAGTAGGATTATTAGTTTGAAATCTTTGACTAACCGAGTCCTCTGTGTGTGTATACAGTGTATATAAATATATATGCTGTATATACGCGTTAGTGTACGTACATGTGTGTGTGCGCGTGTGTGTATGTATGCGCGCGTGTTTGCTTGTGTTTGCATCGCTGACTAAAACCAAACGGTCCAATGCTTAGAGCAAGACGTGTTAATTAGCGCCCCCCCCCTCCACTAATTAATCCAGACTCCCCGAGTGGCGTGGGGTAACACGCCCCCCCCCCCCTGGGTTTCTCAAAGCTCAAGTCAAAGCCTCTGCCGCTCCACCACGTTTGCCCAACGTTCGCAGAGAGTCCGCCGCTGGCAAAGCGCACGCGGGTCGCGACGGCAAACCTGAAGGATCCGTACGCGGGTTTCAACGAACTTGTTGACTTAATGTCGAACTTGTAACGGAACAACTCGAGTGTGCGTGAGGGCTGGGTGTGGGGGGTGGTGGTGGTGTTAGCCTTGACAAAGACTGGGAGCAGGTTTGTAGTGGTTGGTGCACTGCGCTACGAGTCCGGTGACCCGAGTTCGATTCGCATTCAAGGCCAACACTGGTGACGATTATCTGAACCCGTCCAGGGCCTCCTCCCCTAGGTCGACTCGGCTTCACATGAGTACCTGGTGCGGTGTGTAAACATCGCCACTGGGAGAGAAAGGCAGTCGGGCGCGGTGCTGGCCACCCACCCCCTCGTGTACCGTGCCGGCCTTCATAGGTGCTCGCTAACAGCACTTGCCCCAACAGTCTGCGAAGGCTATACGGGGGGGCTCTTTGTCTTATCTTTGTTAACCTTGAGAGGTCGGCACTCGGGAAAGGCGTGGGAGGCCTGCGGTTGGGGTCGTGTGGCTCCGATTGGGGTCATCTGTGGCCGTGTCCTTCGGTGAATGTGCGGGCCGTGGGGTGGAAGTTCCTCCCCAGGCGCGCCGTGTGACCGCATGGGCTCCGGAGGGGAGAGTGGGCGGCGGGTTCGGCTGAGCTAGAAAAACGCGGTAATTGTAACACATTTAGTAAGTGGTCGTTAATTACTCCAAAGCTTTGGGGGGGGTTGTGAAACAATTATTGGCCCGAATGGCTTTTTGGTGTGAAAGGATTAATTAGTCATGGCCCTTACAGCAATGGATTAGCATTGGTTCTATTCTGGTCCTGTTATAATGGTTACTTTAAGCTTCAGTTAAATACCAGCACTTTCAGGAACTCAATTGGGGCTGGATTTTAGTGGGGACCATGAGTCTTCGGACACATCTGCCATGGTTCGTGAACCAACCTCTCTGGGCTCCCACGGTCTTGGCCTCGATGCTTTCCCACTCTCGGCCGTGATGAACGCGTGGCCACACTGGGGTACACAACAGCCCCCCTCTCCCCGTTCGTTCTGATCAGGTCTCTTCTGACGTTAACTGATCTGTTCAGAACTAATTATATGATCCTTATGGCGGTACCCCGGGGAACAAAAGAATACAAAATGGCCGAGCCAATTATTGTTATTTCTGGGACACTATTTTTCCCAGGGGTGTACCAATCAATCCGAAATCAGTGCTACTCCGCGATTTCGAAACGCAGCGAGGACGATTGCGCTGAAACCCTGAACGCTCGCGGTACGCACCGTGGTGGTGCATCGTAGTGTACAGCTCGTCGAAATGAGTCGATTGCCGCATCGCCGACCATCAGAGGCTAAAAACGACTGCACCACGGACATTGTGCGAGAGCCGGGGTGACTATGGTCCCCTGGGGTACCGCCATAAGGTTAATATATCGCTTACTTGGCCTCAAGGAAAGCCCTGCTCCATCCTGGTTCTCGCCCAAAAACTTCCTCCCCTGCCACATAGTACTTGGAGAGAGCATGGCCGGAGACATGACATCAGAGGGGAACCGATGGCCACACTCACTCGATTCTGAGTATCTTCTGTCACGAACACATGTTTCGTATGCGTGGTAGCTTGATCTGATCCCGTGACCAAAGCGGTGGGCATTTATTTAGGACAAGTCTCCTCGGTGGAAATGCGGCTGTTGGAAATCGTCTCGCTGCAGCGTTCCCGTCCGCAGTGCCGCGACGCCGTCGCCCGTCGTAGATAAATCCGCCATGAATTGTAGCGAGGATTTTGTGTGAGGCGGGGGGGGGATGGAGGGATCGGAACGCGTTTGCCGACGTTCATACGGACGGACGCGGTGCGGTTAAGCAACTCCCGCTGGTTCCTGCAAATTTTTTCTTTTTTTTTTAGAATGTAAACCGCGAAATTATTGTCACGCATGTTACTCCAAAAAAAATAGATTTTAACACAAGGCTAACTTCCGCCCGTAATCATCTCTTGGGCTCGTAGAGCCTCGGCGTGCTATCTCGTGGGGGACAGGAAACTTGTGGGATATTGTAAAGTCTATTTTTTTGAAAAGTATCCAAGGCAGAGGCGTGCGTAGGGGAGAGCTAGGGGCTATTCGGAGTCCGCTTAGTGGCTCGGCCGGTGGGTTTCCAACACAAACACCCGTCTTGCTTTCCGCATGGTCGGCTTTTTAGTGAAACTGTGTGTCTGTGATTTACGCTTACATGTGAGAGTAAAGAAGAAAAAAAATCACTTTAAACGCTGTTTCTCCGTCGGCATGGCCACAGCCTCCGTCCGGCCAGATCGCTCGCGGCGGTTTTACTGAACGCAAAGCGCAATCGGATATTGCGAACATCGGAGAGCCGTTAAAATGCACCGGCGATACAAATGTCCCGGAGGAATCGATCTGCGTGGCGCGGCTTCGTTTGATTTATTGTCACTTTATATCATCGTTTGGCTGGTGAAGATCCTGGAGAATTCTAAAATTACTCATGGCAGTCGAGCCAATCTCTCTTTTGGAAGTCAATCGCACGTGCGGGATATTGCTCTCGAGTTTTGTTTTTGCAAAGCAAACGATCGTTAATGCCCAGCCTTGGCGGTGTTTCCCATGCTGCTGATTTTGATTGGAATTTAGGCCAAATTATTTCTAATGCACCCCGTCTTGGAAGCTTTGGGTGGGTGACCGCCAGGTGCGAGGGCTGATAGGTGCCAGGAGACAGTCGAGCACATGAGCGTGGGTCCACAGATTGATTTGCTTCACTCAATGAATTTAGTCTGTGGATTTAACCTCTCCGTGCAGCTCCGAGTGTGACGTCCCTCTCTGAGTGGGGCTTTTTCTCTGGGTTCTCCAAATGTCCTGCACTCACGAAGCCCAACACTTGGACATGCAATTGGCCCAAACATCCAAATACAGCAGGATCCTCCTGAAAAATAGTCCCCGAGACTCGGTGTGGCTTTCCTGAGTAAATAATGGGCATTCTTGTTACCATTTCGGGAAATTCTACGACCTCGAGTATCCTGGCGTGTGATTGGCCGATGTTGGCTCTCCGGTGATGCAGACGATAGACTGCAGCCTTTTGCTTTGCAAGCTTGCACCATTCCAAGGAGATTTTCGAGAGCTTGGAGGGGGGGGGGGGAGGTGGCCGAATTGCTTGTTGCTTTCCAAACCGCCGAGTTTCACAATGAATTGAAAGAGCCGTAACGTGTTGGCGATCTTTGAGCCAGTGTGACAGTGTTAATCTGTAGCTTAACAAAATGGACATGGAACCATATGAACACGAAGGGAATACTATTCTACCAAGAAAGAAACGCGCGCATTCGTTATGTTCGCGTTTTGAGATGTTACGCAATCAGTATTTTCTTTTTCACACCGAGATTCATTTACATTTTAAACCATGGCGCAGGTTATTTTTCCGTTAAGAAAGTTTATACAGCGGTCATTTTCCATCGGCTGCCTTTTTTTTCGCATCTTAGAGACACTCTACACCGAATAGAGGCTAAATAGGACCCACACAAATCATCCGATTCAATTGTGCGACAAATAAGTCCATTTCAGTTTGCCGAATTGTATTACGCCCCGGATAAAAGTGGCAGTATTATCTATTCAGAAGCAATCGGTTCAATTTTTATTTTCCGAAAATTTAAAATAAAAATCCTTTTTGAAAAACGTGAAACGTCGCGATCGTGTTGAGTCGGCTGGCCACCAAAATACATGAACAAAAGGCGCGCTCCTTCAGCGCTGTGTGAAATCCCGCTGATCAGCAGGGCCTTTTTTTGTTTGTAAAAAGCCTGAGCAGTGGGGAAACGTGGCCATGAACACCGAAGCCGAAGTGACAGTATTTGCGAGCATTCCTCGCACTCCACGCCGGCTTTAAAGGGGTTGTCGCGCGCATTTGGATCGAGATGATTTTTTTTACCAGCAAACTTTTACTGCCGCCCCGAGCTGGTGTCAAATCCCACTTCACAGGCCACTGATGAACAGATTTAGGGTTGGTTCCCGGCTAAGAGTGCCGCCCGGTTCGAAAAGCTTTCAGAAATCTAAGTGGGGTTTAAACAAAAAAGGAGGCTAAATATTCGTGCACAGCGTGGAGAGACACTGACACACGTACACGCAGAGGCACGTAGACACGTGGTGACACAGTACGCACACTGACAGACACAAGCGCAGAAACGTTCGAGCACACACCCAGACACGCTTGAGACTCGCACGTGGACATAGCCATACACACACATAAACATAAACACGGAGATGCACAGATACATGCAGACAAACACACAAGTTCGTGCATTGCGTCAGGTTCACACACAGCACACACACACAACACATTCGAAAAAGGAGCATAAGAAACAATGTTTTCGATGTTTTAGTTTAAACATTTTCCACAATTCCTGCACAGAATGTCTTACAAGAAAATAAGCCCCAATCCCAACGGATGGCAAGCCACGTTTGAATGGAATCCAGCGTGAAATGCCAACCACTCGTGGTGATACCGCAAGTCTGGCTTGTTGTTTCTGAGACCCGATATGCGTTTGTAAAGTGGGGAGGGGGGGGGGGGATTAGACACCGACCGAGCATGCGGTTCTCTCCGCTGCTGGCCTGCTCGACCGCTCGCCGATTTCCACTTGGAATCGATTTGGCAGTGCGCTGATTTGTCATTCGGCGCTTCTCCATGCCCGGTTCATGGAGTGAGCCTCGCGTACTTGCGGCGAGACACCCGTGTAAAGCGCGTAGCGGGGGCGACGGAAACTGACAATGATAAGATTAAATCGTGGTGGTGGAGTGAATTGAAGACGCGCGCTGCACTGGGAGAATTGTACGATGATTTTGTTGGAGAAATTTCGATTTTCTGGAGGCTTTGTTGTGCAGGGTGTGTCGGGACGCAGCTCTCGCGAGAACTTGACATGTACGCCGCGTTTGTCGATGCTCGAACGATGCGGCGGAAATCCAAAACCTTGTCACCTGCTATAACGTAATGTCCTTACAGAAAGTGAACAACGTGTTTGAAGTTTCAAAAAAGATCCTAAAACTAACGCCAATTCATCACAATTAACCCTGAACCACAGCCAATGGTTAGAATGTGTCCTCTAGGATTTGTAGTAAAGACATTTCAAATTCCAATGAAATGTTTTCCTCTGCGATAACATTTTTGCTTTAATTTTTTTCGACCGCCTTTCAGTGTTTTCAACGATTCTCATTTGACCCGAAAGACAGCTCACTTGTGCCATACAGCCTCGCTTGCGTGCCATACCATGTTCTGCTTGGGCTCAGAAAAGTTCCCGTTTTTGAGCTTTACTATGGGTAGTTTTGAATGCGTTACGTGAGAAACAGTATCACATTACTCCTTGTACCATCAGACCACTTTGAAGTTCGGTGTGATTTTTTTCGGTCTGATGTAGCAACAATAAAAAAAGGTTAAATGGTTCTTGTTGTGCTCGTTTTTTGTTAATTGAAAGTGTGCTCGAGTTTGATTTGGGGCGTCGCGGTGGCGAGATGTTAACCACCTCGCCTGGTATACAGGCGGTCGTGGGTTTGATCCCGGCCCCTGACGCCTGCTGTATATTTGGAGTTTGGTGTGTTTCTCCCCGTTGTCACGCGGATTTTTCTCCGGGTCCTCCAATTCTTCTTCCATATTTAGAAACATGAGTTTAGAGTATTTGGCTGCTGTAAATTTCCACGTGATTTGTGAACGCCAGTTCGCTTCTGAAAAAGAGCTATATTGCTCAGTGGGCTCTATCTGGTCAAATAAAGTTGAGTTATGAGCAATTCCAAATACAGCCACTATTCTATGGGGACCTCATTTGCCAGTAAAAATATGATAATTGGTTCTTTAAGGTGTCAGTTTTGTTGCCAGATAGAAGGGTAAAGAACCAATTATCACAGCCACTATTGTTTAAAGAGCATTGGCGGAGTGGTGGTAGCATGGCTAATGCGCACTGCTTTGAAGCTGGCTAGCTGAGTTTGATTCCTGGCTATAACATTGGCAAGCGAGATCTGAACTGACCCTGATTCTCTGCCAACCCACACTGACCCAGGGTGGCTGAGCGTGGTCAAATAATCCAAGTTGACTGACGTGGCAAGAGGAGGCCTTCATCCAGCAGTGGAATAACGAAGGTCTGTAAATGTGCTAATCATGAACATACTCTTTGGTTGTTTTCGGTAAAGTCACGTAGGTGAAAATAACATAAAAATTAAAACAACTAAATTAAATCACGACGTTTCGGAAGCAACACAAGCCTTTTTTATTTTTCACCTACGTGACTTTACCGAAAAAACCAAAGAGTATGGATCCTTGCAGTCACGAAAACTTCAAATCTAGAAGTGCTATCATGAAATCAAAATCTAAATATCCTGGAGAAATCCGATGAGCTATGAAGCGATTCTGTCTTAGCAGGAGCGGGTCAACGTGTCGACAATAAGCAAAACAAACGATCGGAGTGCAAAGTATAGGAACAGAAAAGCAAATCGCTAACAAATAAATACATCAAATAGGAAACGTATAACATTTCGAATTGCTTAAGTACACAACAGCAAGAACAGTCGCAGACCGCACCAAAACAACGGCTACACAGACCCTCAATAATAACATTGCACATGTAAAAGTGCCATTGCCTTGGCTGAAATGTCGCCTATAATATACTTTTCCTTTTAAGGCAGCGTGTGCTTGTGTTTATTTTTGTTGAAAATTATGATAGATCACTGTTTGTACCAGTAGCCTTCTTTATACGAAATACAAAAACAATCTTTGATGTGGGATATGTTTTGCAACTTGCGTTGTAATCATCTTAACTAAATAGTTTTTTTCTCTTTCATCAAAGAATGAGCGCCAAATCTCAAGTTACGAGTGAATAATACCTTCAAATAAAAATGTAACATACACGTGACTCGGTTGGCTCACGTGGTCGATACCGTGTGCGAATCACTGAACCGGCAACCCTTTAGAGCCTCGGTTGGACTCCAAGCTCGGTTTATAGCCGGGTTCACAAGCGTCGTCAATCGATGTTATTATCGACCTAATCGACAACGAGTGCATTGCAAAAAGCCACGTGGCAATCGCATTGCGTTTTTTTTTATAGCTTGGTTTGTAAAATTCCAGCTCTGAATAGGATTGACTCATAAAAATATACAGGTTCCACTGATAAGCAATTGTTAACAAGGCATATACAATCGGTGCCTGTCGTGTAGATAAAGCGATGTATTGATGTGATTTAAGAAACCCGAGGCAGTTACTTGAAGGCATCCGACCATGTTTGAACATTCGTTGTGCGTGAGCCTGCAAAAATATCAAGGTGGAAATGTGTTCATTCATGTGGCACAAAGCACAATTGTAATACAACTTTAATTTAACAGCAACTCGTGGATTGCCACGTTAAATCCACTGCTGGGTGAAGGCCCTCCCACGCACCGTCGTATTTTCCTGCAACGTAATAACCCAGCAAGTGAGCAGGTGCACGGTGGAATGTGACATCGAATGAACCGCGAGAGATGATGGCAGCTTGGCAAGGCCTTCATCCAGCAGTGGATTGACCATGGCCGATGATTATAAATCCAAGAGGCGATTTCCCTAATGATGCATTGCGCAATCATCGTTATAATTGTCCTAAATAAAATAAAAACAATACTCTTCAGTCTCTTCGGTAAAGTCACGTAGGTATAAAAAATAATAGATCACGACGTACTTTACCGAAAGAACCAAAGAGTATGGATTCCTGCAGTCACGAAAGCTTCCAATAAAATAAAACAATAACCTGGCTCCCAAACGCCTCCACGTTAACGAACGCTAGAGCGTCACCGATTTGGTCTTCTGGACTTTAGTTGGACTGCTTTCAACATTGTGGATGTCGACAGAGGGCGTTTGACTGCGTAGGGTGCGATAGGAGTATGAACAAACCTGTGCATATGTAGTGGGTTCAATTGAGGCGTACACTGGACCTTGGAGGCTACACGTTTTTATGAACTAACACGACAGGTAACTCAACGTTCACAGGATAACGACATAGGGTGGTGACCACCGCTTCTAACTAACACTCGAGGGGATATCTATATAGTCAGACCACCAGGGCAGCTAACATGCAGCCTGGTGGTCCACGAGACGGAGGATCGTAGTTGGCGGCTTCACTCCCAGAGTTGACGCACCAGAACAGCCCAGCTCCCTCCCGGGACTTGGCCTATAACCGCTCAGGGGTAGCCGCCCTTGGCCACGCCCCCTTCCAGATCCTTCGACGGGGACCCTGGGTCCACATCACGTGACCCTCACACCCCCATCTGGGGGTCCCCTTGCCCCCTTGTCCGGTCACGTGCCCTCTCGGGTTCACGCAGGGTATCACGACCTCGGTGACACCCGGACCCTGCCCTCTCGTGAGCCATTCCGTGCCATGCTCCACACTGGTGCCATAGAGCGGCACCACGCATGCAGTACCACTCTCCACTCGGTGTAGTGACACCATTTATGGCACGACACATGCTGTGCATTTCATATACAGATGTAGTGGCGTAACGCGCGCAGGGTTTGCAAACAGCATACATGCAGTGCCGGATTAAGCTCTGCGGGGCCTGTAGCGTATGTTATAAAGGGGCCCTAAAGAAAAAAAATATTCAAAAAAATATTCAAAAAAATTATTTGTTTAACTTGCATAGTAAAGTAATTGTATTTTTTCACTTGCTATACAGCCAGATAATACGACAAATCGCTAACCTTAAACACCCAGTCGTTCATAAACGTTGAAGGCGGTATAGTACTGTAGTAATAGAGCAAGTGCAGAATAACTGAACCAGAATTTATAGCTTGAAAGTATTTAGCGCGGGGCCCTTGAAAGTGTGTAGCTCTGCAACCGAGATCAATCGCGCACTTTCACTTGTCTAGAGACCCGTGCGTGCAGTCAGCTCGGCGAAGCCTCTTTTACTGGTAGGAACCTCCTGGTTACACCAGCCCACAGGGGATTATTGTGTCCGTCCGTCCGTCGTGCAGGGAGGGGCTGGGTGAGGAGGGGAGGGTGGGGGGGCTGGGTGGGGAGGGGCTGGTCACCCCTTGGTGCCCTTATAAAACTCAACGTTTAACCGACTCACGCCGGCTTGTGCCCGCCCTCACAGTCGGGCATATTTGCGGAATACACCACGTCGTCGTTGACCCTGGCCATTGACCGAGCAACCCAACGTTCCTACCAGCTCCCTCCGCAGGAATGTGTTTTATTCGACAACGAGGCATGCCAAACGGACCGCGGGTGAAAAGTCAAAGAAGTAGACGAAATACTCCCAACAGTCTCGAATGGAAGCTTTCGTGACCGTAGGAATCCATACTCTTTGGTTCTTTCGGTAAAGTCACGTGGGTATAAAATAAAATAAATCACGACGTTTCTGGCGCAACACAAGCGTCCGTCACCAGGTGGGTAAGAGTATGAATCCCAACAGCCTCTGCAAACTCGCTTTGTTCGGCAGATGACCGCCAAGCGGGGACGTCGGTGGACGTCTCCGACGATGGAGCAGCTGGGCATGATGGAGAAATAATAGCAGGGCGAATTGTCCCAACGAGGAAGAATTCAGCGGCTACTGACCGACCCCATGTGTATGAAGTCGCGCGTTCTGTCTTCAGTGTGTTGTCCTTTCCCCGCACCTCCCCATTAGCACGCTTGGCTAAGTACGGTCCGAAAGAAGTTCAACACGCGTGCGTACGAGCCTGCAGTGGTGCATTGTTTAACAGTAAGTCGAGTGTGTGTGGTTGGGGGAGGGGGGTCATACAACAACGCGAGAAGGGCACGACACACTCTACGTGAAGGAAACTTTCAACAAACGTTCAACGATAAACAGGACGAGGAGTAACGACGCGATGCGCTTGTGTGAGTCGTGTGAACGGATCTCCCCCTTCACTGCCTGTGTACACGCGGGACAGCTGAATATAAACCATCGCTCGTGCCGATACTTTTAGACTTCGTTAAGAGTTTAGAAGGGGGCTGAGTATTTGGGGGGGAGGAGAAGGGGGGGGGCTCTACCCCTTCCAGCTCCCGTGACTGGATGGGATCGATGCTCAATGACATTCATGAAAATAATCAGAAACGTGGACACTGAGAAACGCTAAAAAAAATTATTTTGTAAATAAACGATTCGTGTTATATTTTACCAGGTAAGGCCCACTGAGCAATGCAGCTCCTTTTCAGAAGCGATCTGGCCACAAGTGATAGGTTAACGAAGTGGCTTATCATCATGTGGACATCTATAGCAGCCAAATGCTCTAAACGCGTGTTTCTAAATGTGGAGGGAAAAACCGGAAGACCCGAAGAAAAATCTCCGCGACCACGGGGAGAGAGATGCACAAACTCCAAATATACAGCAGGCGTCAGGGTCGGGATCGAACCCACGACCTCCTGTGTACCAGGCGAGGGAGTTAACATCTGCTAGCCACCGTGATGATAAGAGAGAGACACCGCAAA